GGGCTGTGGAACGGATTAATTTCATAAGTAGAGGTACCACTGTATTATAATATCTTTATATATTATAAGGATGTGAGTGAAGGGCACACAGAAATAGATAAGAATTCTTATAAGATTCTAGGCAGTAATGTTCAAACCACCTAATATTAGGTGTGAAATTCTAGCCTTCACTACTTTATATAAGGGGTTGTCATTCACTCATGGACAGGAGTAAATGGCAGCAAATAAGGATAAACATCTTGGACATAGCTGATATCACATATAACTAATGATCAGTCATCGTTAGAAATGATATTAGACACAGAAGGCAGAAGGTTAGCCAGGAGTTGAAGGAATAGCATTGGCATTGGGCAGGGTTGCTATTTCTATCAAAGGGGGTCAGTTCAAAGTGGCAGAAGTCAAAGAGTGGGTAAAGATGAGAAAGACAGTGAACCTGAGAGACACAGGAGATTGAGAAACCATCCCATATCATAAAAGAGGTAGAAAGAAAGAACTGCTGCTTGAAGTCGAGGTGGGGAACCACTTTCAGCCTAAAGGCTATATTCACTTACATGTAAATTCTTGGGGTTTACATTCCAGTGGAGGATGGTGTCGAAGGCAAAAGGATAGGACTAAAAATACCAGCATATTTTAGATTAAAGCTCTTACTGCCAGTTACACAGCCTTCTACCCTTTTAGGATGGGGAAGATCCTTGCAAATGATATGAAAAGACCAAAAGATGGTGGGATGAGGAAGGGTTATTGCCATTGGGAGAATCTCGGAAGAATTGGATCCGGCCCCAGGGCCTGAGGTTTCCTATCCCAGATTAAAAAACAACAACAACAGGTAAGATGAAGTGGCCAAGAATTGGGAGAAGGTGGAACAACCACTATGCCACTTTTAAAGACCACAGCAAATAAAGATATTGAAGTGCAGTCCTCTGTACACACTGATTTGGGAAAATACTACATTGAGTTAAATGGGGATTACTCCTGCAGAGACATGTATAGGATGATATTGTAAACCTGATCATTACTAGGATTTTGCTGACTAGTTATTGGTTTGATATCATAGATACATAATCTAAAACATGCTGCAGTGGTTAAGAACCATTTGCTTTTCACAGGTAGTTTGGCTTTTAGATTACTTTACGGGAGGAACCATCTGTGACATTGAAAATAATAAGTGAGCCCCATATTTCTACAGAGGTCTGTGTACAAAGTGGATCAAAGCCATTAAGGATGGCAATGCTACATAGTATTTGCACCACATTTCCAGTTTATCTCCTATCATTCTTTCCACTATGTGTTTCCTTTTTCTGATGCTTAAGGCTGTTCTGTGCTAAAAGGTAATAGTGTGTAACAGTTTTCCATGCTGCAAACTAACACATTCAATTTCTTTTTAAACTTTTTATATACTCACATGTTGCTAATATATTTTTTTTTACCAGATTCAAGTTATTTTATTGTACCATAGCTCAGAGACTTTGAACAAACTGTTAGCAAAGCAAAGCAGCTTCATTTATATACCGCTTCATACCACCCTATGGAGTGTCTAAATGGTTTACAACTGTAAGCTCATTGCCCCCAACAAGCTGGGTATTCATTTTAGCAACCTTGGAAGGATGCAGGCCTGAGTCAAGCCTGAGCCCTGGCTAGTATTGAACACGCAACCTTGTGGTTTGTATGAGTGAGTGGCAACAGTACAGGCATTTAACCACTGTGCCACCAGGGCGCCTAATGTTATCCTCTTGTTTATAAAGATGCATGTAAGTAACAGTAAAAGGATGCTTAACAGAGAAGGAACCAAGTCATAGGTCCATATATCTAATTAAAACTAGATTTTTAAAAAGGGACTCCTCTTCTGTGATGACTTAACAATACCAATAATTATAAATATCTTGTTTCCCCACAAATTGGGACTCAAAGCAGCTTTCACTTTTTAAAAAGTACAACATAAAAAAGAGAGTATTAAAATAGGATTAGATTACAGTTGCCCTTCCATTTTTGCAGACTTCAGGTCTATGGTCTTGATCATTCACGGACCAGCAATCCCCATTGGTTAAAATGGCGTGTATGCCAGTGACATGCGTGCAAGGCCGTGTGCAGGAGTGCGTGGTTATTCAAGCCAATGGTGCTTGAATATCTGTGAGTTTTAATTTTTGTGGGGGGGTGGGTCCAGAACGGATCCCCCATGAAAACAGAGGGGCAACTGTATTACAGTGCTAAAAAAAGTCACTTAAACTTAATAACTTAAAAAAACCTTAAAAACAGTACACTATAAAACAGTACAACACCTCCAGACCATTCTTTAAAGAGGACAACTTCAGAGTTCCTTATTATATCTAAAAGTTTAGGAACCTTAAAAGGAATCTAACAGCCTAAGCAGACGGCGCAAAGTGCCATTTTCGAGGCCAGGAAGGGGAGGGGCAGCCTCACACTGGACACCCCAACCCCTTCCCGAATATGTCGTTGGAGTGCCCGTCGCTCTGCATGGCTGGTGCTCCGACGATGCACTTCCGCTGCAGCGTCCGCACACGCTGCAGCGGAAGAGGCACGGAAGGTGCACCGGAGGCCTTTTGCGGTGCACCTTCGGCGTCGTGGAGAAGGAGCGCTATTTTAGTGTTACTTCCTGGGCTTGGGACGCTACAGCTCGGGGCCGAGGAGTGCGGATACCTCGGCCCCGATCCGCAGCTTCCTGGGGCGGCCCTGTGCTTCCCCCCTAAGATAATATAAACTATGTTTAATTCAAACAAAGCTAGGATCAAGCTGTGATTTATGATTCTAGTTTGTTCATGTAGTGCTAAAGTGTAGTTTAGTGTTTGAATTGCTCCATGTTTTCTCCTTTTTCCCAAATCTTTTTTAAAAAGCATTTAGAAAACCAAGTTGTATTCAAATTTCCTGTTTTGTTTTGTAATTTGTCCCCCCCCCCACACACTTCATGCTATAATGGCTACAGCTTTGGGGTAACTTTTCATTCTTTTTCTATTTTCTTAGTTAATTCCCTTCTGCAGCAGTTTGAAACAATAACCCTTTAGGTCTGACATCTTACCAAAAATTATTCTAGATTTCCCACACTGGTGGTGAGCCATATGTTAGCACTAATTATATAAATGAGATATTGTATAAAATGGAACACACTTAAACACATAGTGCTTTAAGGAATTATACAAATGAATGCTATCTCAAATAACAGCTGGAGGAAGAAAAAGAAAACTACAGATTTTCCGCAGATGTTAATAGCTTTTCGTGGCTATCCGTAGTTTTTATTTGTCTAAGTATAAGAAGTGCTGATACCTCGAACACTTGCCAGACTACAAAACCTAGTAAAAAGACGGCTGTTTATGCCCATAGAAATATAGGAAATTCATTAAGGCTTGATAATTGATTTTAAAAAACAACAACAAACTGCCATGTATGTGCAGATCCAATTCCAGTCATACACTTATCCTTCCCCCAAATAAGTAGGATTGCTAGAGAGAGAGGATGTGTGTGTAAGACAAATAATAGTGGTTGTGGTGGTGATGATTGAACACCAGCAACTAAAAATACTAATGTAGTTGAAGAGAAATGGGCAATAGTGACTACATCTATCATTTTTTGGATGTTGTTATTCTTGTTGTTATTGTTTCCACCTGAAACTACATCAAGTAGTTTCCAACTTATGGTGACCCTAAGGCAAAACTGTCACAATGTGTTTTTTTTGGCAAGATTTGTTCAGCAGTTATTTTTCTTTGCCTTCCTCTAAAGTTGAGAGAGTGTGACTTGCCCAGGGTCACCCAGTGGGCTTCCATGGCTGAGCAGGGATTTGAACCCTGGTCTCTAGAGTCATAGTCCAAATACTTAAACCACTATGCCATGCTGGCTTTCATTATTATGATAGCTTGCTTTATTCAGATTTCTTTATTTATGCTATTTATTTGTTTATATAGTGTTTTCCTATTAAAACTGTGGCTGAGATGAGACATACCTCATAATTGTGGATCCAGCCCACCGTATTTAAAAATAGCTCACTTTTTGATCCAATATGGTTTTTGAAATTATTTTTGTAGCTCTGATGCTGTGGGAAAAGGTTGGAGAAGGTGTGACTTGTGTGACCCACCAATACTAAACTACAGTTGACGAGAAATCATTCATCATGTATACTAGTCACCAGAGTTCAGTAGGTTCTTGTTTCCGCTGCCTATCTGGAACTGAAAAATAGGGGGAATCTGTCCGGTTGCATTTAGATTTAGAGGAGCAAAAAGGCCTACAGGCTTGGCATATTGCCTAACCAGCTTCTCAAATTGCAATAGCCAGGAAAATTCCATTTGGTAACTTTAACAATGGGGATAGCTGACTGTTGTCTTAGTTTATGAATGGCATACTTAAACTAATCTTAGCTATTTATTGTACATGTTCCACAAATTTTTAATGAAGAGAACACCCATGAAGAATAACATTTGCATGTTGCTTCTTTTTAACAGCTTGTTCTCTGCAAGTAATTTGCTTACCTCTGTCTTACATGTTTATTATCTTTTTATTAGTGTATATGCTGTGAGCCTATAAAAAAGCTTTCCCCCTGCTACAGTTAGAAGTACTCCGGTAGACAGTGAAATTATGCCCTCTCTCCATCTAAATCAATTTATGCTATTTTATTATATAATTTTACATATTGAGACAGTGTTGATAATTTGAAGGATAGGTCTGTGGTTAAAAGTAATGATGGAAATGAATCTTCAGAGAATACCAACACAAACTCATTGAAATTACACTTGTCCTTCCACATTCGCTGGGGTTAGGGACACAGGACTCCTGTGAATGTGGAAAAACTGCAAATAACAAAAACACTATGTTTTTACCTGAGAGAACACCTCTCTAGGAACATCTAGGTCCTCCAGTGCAGCTCTATGGTCAACATCTGTCAGACATTGACCACAGAATTGCACTGGAGGAGCTACAAATGCCTAGTGGAGGGTTCTCTCTAGGAATATCTTCTAGGCCCTTCAGTGTGACTTTTGGTTAAAATTGACCATAGAGTTGCACTGGAGTACTTAGATATTCCTAGAGAAAACATGTTAATAAAATCCGTGAATAATCAAATCTGCAAAAGTCAAAGCTGCAAATGGGGGAGGAGTGTGTACATTATTTGATACTATATTCAATTACATGACTAGGAGTAGGAATTGTATTGTTGGACTGCAAATCCCTGCAGTTCTGTTTGGCAAAGGTGTAATCTGCACTACAGAATTAATGCAGTTTTACAGTGCTTTAACTGCCATGGCTCAGTGCTATGGAATTTTGGGATTTGTAGTTTTGTGAGAGGTTTAACCTTCCCTGTTAGAGAGCTCTGCTGTCACAGCAAACGACAAACCTCAGTATCCTATAGCATTGAGTCATGGCAATTAAAGGAGTGTCAAACTGCATTATTTCTGTAGTGCAGATTAGATCACAGACACTGGTGAGGTAAGCTGAGAGTTATAGTCCATCTGGAGGGCAACATCTGGAACTTAGGAGGGCTGTTGCTCAGTAACAAAATACGCATTCTGCATACTAAAAGTCTCAGGTTCAGCTCTGCCATGAGACAGGATTGGGGAAGGCTTCTACCTGAAAGATTGGAGTGCTCCTGCCAGTCAGCAGCATACATCCTATTCCTCCATTTGCCAATCTGCAGATGCTTTAGATTACAATTCCCACAGCTTCAGCAAACATGGTGACTATCTTGCATTGTAATCTGAAACATCTACATGGCACCGTGTTGGGGTTGTTCTATGCTACATTGGATGTACAGCAGTAGTACTCAACCTTGAGTCCCTAACCTTGAGTTTCCAGGCCATTGTTTATGAAACATGAAATCTATAAATATCTGGTGACATGAGATAGGGTACCACTGGTGAACTACATGGACTAGTGGTCTGACTGAGTATAAGTCTGTTTCCAATGCTTTCCAGAGTGCTGCCCTCAATTCAGATATTCAGTGAACTTCTTGGGCTGTGTTAGGCACAGGGGGGAAGCAGACTGGCGGCTCTGTGCCGCCCGGGGAAGGTGTGCCGCAGGACCGAGGCACCCCATGCCTCGTTCCTGCGGCGCTCCTTCGCCCCCCTGAAAGGAGCGCTAAATCTGCGCTCCTTTCAGAAGTCAGCGAAAGTGCGCCCCAAAAGGTTGAGGCGCACTTTCGCTGGCTTTTCCACCGCAGCGTGTGCGGATGCTGCGGCGGGAGGTTGCCCCCGGAGCGCTGGCCATGCGGAGGGTCGGCGGCTCCGAGGGCAATCTCGGGAGGAGGAAGGGGCGCCGAGCATGCGGCTGCCCCTCCTCTTCCCTGCCTCGGAGACAGCTCAGTTAGCCGTCTGCCGAGGCCCTTAGACTAGCCTCTATCTTAGCCTAAGTACCTCACAAGATAGTGACTATAATTTTTGTGTGTGTTCAGGATTGGGACAGGACTGTTGCTCACTTTCCCTTCTAGGTAGATCGGGTTAAAATGTTTTTAAAAAGCATCCTGAAAATTGAAACAGTTCTTCCAAAACTAGATCAACTGATTTAGAACAAGAGGGTTAAGAGTTGTCTTGGGCTTGGATTCATTCTATCTGAAGGAGCATATTCTTACATATCAACCAGCCCAGGATTTGAGATCTTTGGTGGTGGCCTTTTTCAGGTATATCTAATGGGTTATGTGTGTGAGAGGACCTTCTTGGTGGCTGCTTCCAGGGTCTGGAAGTCCTTTCTTAGGGAGGATAAATTAGCTTCTTTCTTGCTGTCCTTATGTTAACAGGTGAAGACATTTTAATACTGGTTGGTTTCTAGGAACTGTTTGTTTTATAAGGAAAGAAATTTTAATAGTGTACAGTACTGGCCTGTTTTCAGTTCTTGGCCTTTAATGGCTATAGTTGAAGTTGCAATTCTTAACTAGTTAAATTCTATTTTAAAATATTTTATTTGTACATACAAATTTCTGTTTTAATTTCTGTAATCTGCCTAGAATACCTGGGAAAAAGGCACGATATAAATAAACAGGAATATGGATAGTGGTGTGGTGGTGAAGAGGAGGAGGAGGTAATCATCTTCTATCATAGCTTGGAAAATTTACTTTTCTGTACAAATGACCCTGCTCACTTGGGGTTTCTGGAAGTTGTAGCCCCAACAGCAACTTTTTCTTCTTCTACCTAACTGTGAAGTAGTTCTGCCACTTTTTTGACTTATAGTGAGTTTAATTCAGCCCTTGAAAAGAGCAGTAAATTATTTTGTACAGAGGTTCTAAAAATGTCCAGACTTTTGGAGGTATGTAGGATCAGATCATCATATCTATCTCTGTCACATCTCTCATCAGCACATAATGTGTTCAGCAACTCTTCAGCGAACTCTTCAATACTTAAACCCATAGATGAACATTATCATTTTACACAATATAGTTTTTTGTGGTATTTTTTTGGGCTATGTGGCTACATTCTGGAAGAATTTATTGCTGACTATTCTCCTACATCTGTGGCTGGCATCTTCATAGGGTGGTGGCATGGAAGTATGTGGGGTATATATACTTCACAGAAGCATAGAGGTGGAAGAGACCACAAGGACCATCCAGTCCAACCCCCCTGTGATACACGTGCTTCCTATGTGCTAAATTACAACTCCATCTCTAGTCAGTGTCTTTGTTTTTAAGTAACTGTAGAAGTGAGGATGAGAAGGGAAAGCTTATTTCTGGATTAGAACAACATCGGGTCACACAAGTATATATACCCCACATACTTCCATGCCACTACACTCTGAAGATACCAGCCAGAAATGCAGGTGAAACATCAGGAATTAATTCTTCCAGAGTGTGGCCACATAGCCTGGAAACTCCAAAGAAAACTATGGATGCTGGCCCTGAAAGCCTTTTGACTTCACATTACACAATATAATTTGGTAATTTATTCACTAGGAATACAAACACATCTGTTTAGGAACTGTACATCTCTAAACAGGCGTATGTGAACACAGCCATCCAAGAGGTTAGTGTCCCTTGACCTCCTCCCATTTCACACTAAACAGAATCCTCAGTAATGCTTTTTTGCACTAATGTTACTCATAAATTGTAATTCCCATATACCAATGAATCTAATGCTCATAGTTGTGACATATACAGTTAGCAAAATTAAAATTATACCTTCAAATTACAGTATCATATGCACAACCTAAATATATTTACATATATACAGTGAAGATTTGGTTAAAATGTGATGTTTTTTTGAAATTTGAATTTTAAAAATTCTGGGGCCTCTCTTTTCTCCTCCCATTGAGCTTCATTCCACTCCCATAATCTCTTAAAGC